AGTTCGTATTCAGTCTATAGCGTTCAGTCAAAATTGGAACGTAAAAAAGAAAACAAAATGATAATAAAAAAGTTAAATTAAAATATCGACTAACAATTGAATAAATAATATTAAACCGAAAAATTATGACCTCGCGAAAAGCTAACGCGAAAGAACGTGAAAAAAAATTATCTTCTCGATTATTAAGAAATATCCCTCTCTCTCTCTCTCTCTCTCTCTCTCTCTCTCTCTCTCTCTCTCTCTCTCTCTCTCTCACACACACACACACACACATACACACTTCCTTCTTATATCCTGTAATGACTGTGATTAAAATAATTGTATATATAACAAAAAAAAAAAAAAATAAAAAAATAAAAAAAAAGGAAATGTAAGAAATGTATATATAAACAAAAGTAATAAACAATCTAAATAATCAAAAATCGTTTCACTCGAAGAACGTAAAGAAAAATTCGTGTTGAGAAAAACAAAAAGCCTATTCGTCCCTACACATCCGATTAAATTGGTCGATTATTTTAAAAATATTCTTTCTTTCTTTTTCTTTTTCTTCTTCTTTTCTCGTTCGCAGTTTCACACTTGTGGGCCTTTATCGAATATGTATTTATATATACACATATATTTGCATATACATACGTAACTGCTTAAAATATTTAATTATACGATCATATATATATATATATATATACATATATATGTGTATATATATATAATATATATGCATATGTATATGTAAAGTCGCATACTGATACATAAGATCTAGAGAAAAAAAAAAAAGAAAAAAAAACCAAAGAGAAAAAAAGAAGGAAATACACTACTTTTCTTTTCTTTTTTTTTTGTTCGTTTTTTTTTTTTTTGTTTTTTTTTTGTTTTTTTTTTTCGCTAGCTTACAAAAGTGATCCGAAAATGAAAGTTTTTTAGGATCACTGGTAAAAGGCAAGCAGCATAGTAACAATTCCATCACGATAAAGTACAAAGAGATAATCAAATCTGATACATGCTTGTACACACGCTATATGTATATATGCATATTTAAAAAAGGCATCTGTATGGATGGGACGTCACAACTCGATCTAACAACCGGTTTTCTTCTGCTAACTGCAGTTTAAGGCAACTCGTTTGTTTCAAAAAATAAGGATCCATACTACGGTATTCTTATCAGTAGAAATAGTAGACATATAAGAATTCGAGAATATATATATATATATATATATATATATATATATATATATATGCTTCGACAATTATAATATAGGACGACGTTACCCAAGAGCTCGTGAGGAGCAAGTGTAACTGACGAAATTCACTATACAGTATATAATGGAACCAACTTTAAAGCGAGAAATTTCTCTCAGAGTTTTACATAAAAAAATATGTAATGTATATCGACAATCGTCGCTCGGTTCGTGATGTCAGAGGTCGTAGTTGTTATCATGATTAAAAAAAAAAAGAATGTATGTATACATATATATATGTATGTATGTATGTATGTATGTATGTATGTATGTATATATATATATATGTATGCATGTATGTATACAAAAATTGTAGCTTAAATGCAAATACAAACAAAGATATCGAGTAAAATACCCTTAAGTATATCCAAATTACCCTGTGGCTTGCTATGACCCAAAGAATCGCTCAAATTTGTACCATGACTCAGACCATCTATATCGCCTCTCGTAAGCCAATCTAAGTAATGATCTCTTTTCTCTATATCGGCCATTTCTGAAGAACGCACTACATCCGTACGACCTACGTTTTGTATAGTTTGCAAATACAATCTACCAATTTGACTTATCGAATAGCCAATCTCCAAGCTATCCTTATTACCGCTAAGAGTTTCTTGAGTATTGATACTCTCAACTGGATTTAATAATCTACTGCTTTGTGTCGGTTCGGTATTGGACGAATGATCTTCCGTATTAATCGAAATATGATTTGCCTTTAATTGGCCAATCTGAGCTTCTTCGTATTCTTTTTTAATAATGGCAAGAGAATTGGTTTGAAGTGAGATATTCGAATTCTCCGTGACAAAGAACGTCTTGGTTTCAGCGTTAACGTTGTTACGCTTATTGAAAAAACCGAGATTCGATTTAACGGGAGCACGACGAGCCAATGTATCTGTAGTAATATCCTCAAAAAAAGCTACGCCTTTTTGGTGCCGCTTTAAAAAATATTCGCATTTTTCCTGATCGGTCTGCAATAAATCACTGATTGGTTCCTCCTGCTTGAGGAGATCCTGGCACTTCTCGCGCTCCCTGGGTAAAAAATGCAAGCTCCTACCGACTCTTTGAAAGAAGTTTGGTCTCTTTCGTGTTTTATTTACCGACGAAGTCGAAGATTTCTTTGATTTTTGAGATGAGTCGAGACTCCTTTGTTTCCCATGAAAAAATAACTTTGGACTCTCTTCCGGCAGAAGATCCAAGCTTTTGACATCTACACCGGGTAAATCGACGCTCCTTTCCAAAGACTCGAGACTCCTATAAGTTTTCTCTTTATTTTGAAATGAAAAGTTTCTTCTTCTGCCGGAAGAAGTCTCTTGTAACATTTCGCTGCTGCTTTTCTTAAAAATTTCACCCTCTCTTTCTAGAAACTCGACGTTCTCCGAATCACGGCGCAATTCATAGGCCATTGTTAGACGTTTAACACCAACGGCCGGACCACCCTTGCCTTTTTTATCTTCGTCCAATCCACCAAAGCAATTCATCGAACTGCTAGAGGCGGCACCCTCCTCCGTATTATGAACTCTACGATCCTCGGATATACAATTACTCGCGTTAAGATCCTCGAACATCACGACCTGGCGATCTATGTCTTTCTTAGTTTTATGCCCATGAAAAAAATAACTCTGTTTATCAACGTGAGTCGACGCCGTGCTGGGGTTCCTCTCGCGCAGACTATTTACAGGCTGATAGTACTCGCGTAACGTCGAATTAATATCGGTTTGGTTAGGACCAAGCTCGTGATGTCCCAGATTAAGGTTGGCTAAATCCAAAGATGCAACCTCTGGCGCTGCCCTACCCGGCGACGACTTAAACGTACTGAACTGACACGGATTAACACGTGATGCATCGTTACCGACGGTCTGCGAATGACCGACCACAAATTGACTCTTTCGTTCGGCAGCAGCCTGTTGCTGGATCGCACAGAATTGTTGGTAGAATTGTATTTTACCTTGCAGATCGCTCTTGTCCTGATTGTCCTGGTCACCATGAGCATCCAACGCTTCGCGGCGCTTTTGCCGTATGGTTCTCAGATTCGACGACGTTCCCCCTACCGTTTGACCCATCGTTGCAACCGACGCATTTGCCAGACACTGTCGAGTGTACGGCCTGAAACAATCGGGATCGAAAAAATATCATGTCTGATTCCTATTTTATAAATAGCACCACTCATTATCAATATATCGTTTATCGTTTTACTAACCTTGATCTATGCTCCTGTTCATTATTGGTTCCAGATGGCAGCGCTGCATTTGTCGGTTGAGAGTGCATTGGTGTCTGCTGCACCGAAGGCAAGGTTTGTTGTCTGGTATTGCCAAATTTCAACATATTCCAATCGAAGACATAATCGTATGTGAAGCCCTGACCATGGAATAATGTCCGGAAGAGTTGCCGAAGATACGAATAATCAGGCCTTTCCTCAAATCTTAATGCCCGACAGTACTTCAGATAGGAGCCAAATTCGACTATGAATAGACAAAAAGTGGTGTATACTTTGTAGAATATAATATATATAAATATATAACAATAATATAAATAATAATACAAATAGATTAAACGCGTCTAAAAATAATATAATTGAATTAATAAAAAGGAAATGAAAAGAGATATTTATCAATAAAAGCATTTACTAGGATAACCCTTGCATAATTCTTCGATGGGCGTTGACATCTTCTTTTCCGAAATACGTTCGTATTTTTGCCTTTTCGTAGCTGCTTTTAATCCTTGCCATGGTAAACTACCTCTGTTGAAATACATGAGAACATATCCTAGAGATTCAAGATCGTCTCGTCGTGACTGTTCAATTCCCAAATGTGTGTTTATACTCGCGTATCTGTTATATCACGGAAATAAACAACTTTTGAGTAATCGTATAATAATAAACAAAGTTATATATATATATATACATATGTACATTTAAACATCCCAATGACAAACCTGGCTGTTCCAGTTAAATTTTTGTTTTCTCGATAAGGTATATGTTTGTGTGTGCGACCATCGCGATATTTTTTAGCTAAACCAAAATCTATGATGTATACGAGATTTCCTTTCTTTCCTAGACCCATCAAAAAATTATCTGGCTTGATATCTCGATGGATGAAGTTTCGACTGTGGATATAATCTGTTCTACTTATCTGAGGGGAAAAAAAAAAAAGTAGAAGAAAAGAAAACAAAGTTTTTGTTAATTGTTTATAAATACAATTTTAATTTGTTGTTTCATATTATATTTTTTATAATAACAATTTCTTATACTTTCTCTTTAATATCACATAATAAAGAGAAAACAATACGAGAAATGAAGAAGAAGATGTTAAATCAACTGTTCCATTCAAAAAAGAAAAGATCAAACTTATCTGTCTGGAGGTTTATCTCCCAAGAGAGCAAAGACCTCTGCATTAATAGGATTGCTACTTCTATTTTGTAATCAGAATATTAATATAAGACTTTTATCATGAGAGAAACAGAAATTTAATTAATTAATTAATTAATTTTTGAAAATGAGCATGTGTAAACAATGACTTTTAAGTATTGAAAAATCATTCATGGTATGAATGAATTCTTTTCATATAAACTAAGATATATAAATTTTTATTATTAAAAAGTTTCTCTCTTAAAATTATTACTTACCAATTGATCCGCAAGGAGTAACACAGTCTTTAATGTAAATCGCCGGGAACAAAAATTAAATAAATCCTCCAACGATGGACCAAGTAATTCCATTACCATTACATTATAGTCTCCTTCTGAACCACACCACTTTATCGTAGGAATACCAACTAGAAATATCAATTAATCTCTATAGAATTCAATAAAGTAACAAAATTTTATATAATCCTAGCGTTCAAATTATAGGGAAAATTAAAAGAGAAATTTTCTTTTAATTGCTACAAAATAATAACATAAGAAATCATTGGATGATTTTCATTTCTATGCTTTCACAAATATATATATATATATAAAACATATTAGAAGATTAAGAATCTTTAAAAATCATCTTAATGATTAAAAACAATCCTGTATGATCTTGAAGAATAGTACAAGTACATTACTATCAAAGCAATAGGTTTTATAAAGTTGACACAAAGAAAATGGGAGGGGGAAAGGAAAGGAAAGGAAAGGAAAAGAGTATACTGAGTATAGTAGAGGGGAGAGAAGGTTCACTGGCCAGAACAACCAGCTGTCCAATGCTACGACCTGACAGCTCCAGCCTCTTTACACATACATCTTTGTAATATCATTCCACATGATAATGAGGATTAAAAAAAATTTTCCCTCACCTCCTCCTTGCATCATTTTATAGAATTTCGATTCTATGTGAAGTTGGGGATGCCGTGTTTTTATGCATTCCAGTTTGATGGCGACTTCCTCGCCAGTTGAGATGTTGGTACCTAAGAATGAAAAAGGCAAAAGCATGTTCATACGGGAGGTCTAGCGATCTCGCGGATGTTGCTGTGTATATGTGTGTATGTGTATGTGTACGTATGCATATATATATATGTATATATGTATGTATATAAGTATGTATGAACGCGCGCGCGCCAGCCAGCCTCAGCAAACGCATATATTCGTAGGAAAAACGTGCGTAGAGAGGGTGGAACGTCTGGTAAAGGCGACGGAGGTCGAGGGAGGAGAGGGTGATGAGGGAGGAAGGTGGGTGCACTGCCGAGGGCGGCGACGGAGGAAGAAGAGTACGAGGAAAAGAAGAAGAAGGAGAAAGGGAGGATGAGGATGATGATGAGGAGGAGGTGGAGGAGGAGGAGGTGGGGTAAAAGAAGGCGGTTGAGGGGCGAGAAGAGAAGTGAAGAAAAGGGAAGGGAAGGGAAGGGAAGAGAGGGAGGGAAGAAGAGAGAAAGAAAGAGAGTAAGCGAGAGAGTGAGTTAGAGATAGCGAGAAGGAGAACGGGCGATGGAAGGAGGAGGAGGAGGAGGAGGAGGAGGAGGAGGTGGAGGTGGAGGAGGTGGAGGTGGAGGAAGAGAAAGAGGGGGCGGGAGAGGGGTGGGCAACGGGCGAGCGATGCACGTTCGCGAAAGAAAAGCTCGAGAAACAACTCTGTGACTTACCCAGATAAATATCCCCGAAGGAGCCGCTCCCGATTTTCCGTCCGAGCCGGTACTTATTTCCAACGCGGAGCTCCATTCTCCAGCTTTGACGAGGCTCAAGAATAAGAAACTAATAAGAGATATAGACGGAGAGAAAGAGAGAGAAAGAGAGAAAAAGAGAGAAAGAGAGAAAGAGAGAGAGAAAGAAAGAGAGAGAAAGAGAGAGAGAGAGAGAAAGAGAGAGAAAGAGATAGTAAGAGAGAAAATAGAATAAAGTAAGGGGAAGGAAGTCGAGTAGCACACGAAGGAGAAACGGTAAAGCAGCAACAGCAACAGACTCGATAGTTGGCCGCGACGGCACACGTGCGCGCACGGCGGCTGGTTATGCAGACACAGAGAGGAAAGGTCCACAAACGCGTTTAGAGGGCCGGCCGAGCCTCCATATTTGATCGTACCGCCGCTCGCGGACCTACGAGCATTTCCTCTCCTTCTTCTTTCTCTTCACGTCGTACAGCCAACTGCTTCACGATGTTGATGGCGGCTGCACTGGTGGCGTTGCTATCGCTGCTGTCGTCGTTCTCCTCCTTGTTCTCGTCTTCGTCCTCCTCCACTTCCTTGTTCTCGAAGTTGACGTTCTTTTCCCTATGCTCCTAAACGCCGTATTTATCCCAAATAAAAGGCTGCTATTCGTTATTCTATCTCTCGTAGTTCTTCTTCTCTCAACTGTTCTTATCTCTCTTGCTTTGGTTCTGCTCGTCCTCGTCGTTCTCCCCGACGTCGTCGTCGTCGTCGTCGTCGTCGTTCTCCTCGTCGTAGTTTCCGCCTTCGACGTCGTTATCGATGTTTTCGACGACGTCGTCGCCGTCGCCGTTGCCGTCGTCGTTTTCGTTATTATTATTATTATTATTGTTATTATTATTGTTATTATTTTTGTTTTGCCTTTCGACGGCGCTGCTATTAAATTCGTATAGGGAACTGCCGCCGCGCTTACGTTTATTCCTGGAACTTTCTTTATTATTTTTTCCAAAATAAAAGGAGAACGACGGCGTCGACAGAGAGAGAACTGCCCCCCACGGGGGGGCGGTCGACAGTTCGTCGTGAAATATGAAAAACGCGAGGAACGTGGACACGCGAGGAACAATAGAACCGTGCCGGATCTTGCAAAATGAGGCGATCCGGACGTGCAAGAACGAAACCACCAACGATACGATGTACCGCGTAAGGGCATCTGCCCTTCCGCGGAAACGACGTGCTTTGCCGAACGAATGGCGCACACGGTTTATGGCGCCGTCGAGACGTGCCCACCAGGATCGCGTGTTATGCGACTATTATAACCGACACTTCGTCCCACTCTCTCCCTATCTCTTTCTCTCTCTCTTTCTTTCTTTCTCTTTATCTCGTTCGTCGTTCGCTCACTCTCCCCCCTCTCACTCTCTCTCTCTCTCTCACTTGTTTTTTTCACAGGGCCCCTTCTGCGTTTCTTTCTTGGCCCCGTTTTTTTCCTATTTTTCTTTCTTCACTCTACTCTGAAATTATTTTCGATCGATGATTCCGACGAACGATCACGCGGCTCCTCTTTCATGGCTCTCCGTATGTATCGTTCCGTCACACTCGACGATACCGCGTTTCATCCGATCGACCGTGTCGCGGCGCGTTTTTCACTCCGTTAGAGACAGCGCAAGACAGCGACGTTATTGTCCAACAATTACGTATAGCGGACGCAAGCGCCGAGGGTGAATCGACACGCCTGTGCGATTCGGTGCCACCTATCGGCCGATATTCAAACACCAACTTCCGTTGAATCATACGATTGGTTCCTTCAAAGCCCGCGATATTTTGACTTGGTATACTTAAAGAAAAAATACACGTGTTTGTCTTGATTTATAAATAAAAGATTTCGCAAAGAAAAACTTCGATAATTGAAATATTTTAGAAATAATTATTTAATGTATAATAATAAAATGTTACAAACGATAATTTAACGATATATAGGAATTGATTTTCAGGGCAGTGTCTCTTTCATTTTTATGTGCAACAATTGCATACTAACAAATAATAGAAAATCGATAATTTATTTTAAGTGCGGATTCATTAGTATATTTTTATCTCCTTTATTAAAATAAATCGTTATACTATACAATAAGCTATATGATAAATTGTATGTGGTACTTTATGTATAGCTAAACTGAGAGAGTTTAGTATCACGTTGATGTATACATGCGTGTATGTGAATTTTAATAAGTGAGTTTTTATAGGAAAACTTAATAAAAGTTTTTTAATTGGTATATGTGCATGGTAATGATGTAACTACAAGATTTATCTACAAAGGCCCTGTGCAAATAACGTTACATGTAATAAACTGTACATTTGTCTATGGACGTATGTTTCAGTAAGTTAATACATATGTATATATACTTAGACCAGGCATGTCAATCTGTATATTTCGTTAGTCAAACGTTTTGGGCCAGTCACGTAGAATAACGTAGTTGCTGCCATTTCTTTTTTTGAGTCTTTTAACATTTTATGCAAATGCACGTAATACGTTACGTACAAATGTTATTCCTTTCTTTCTTTCTTTTTCTTATTTTAGATTTTTTTTATTCTTTTTTCTTTTTTTTTTTTTTCAAATTATTTTCAAACAATTCTTAAAACATTGTATTGAAAGTGGCAAATAAAAATAAATCGCCTTATACAATGATTTATATATATTAAAAGATATAATATAATTAAAAAAAAGCATTAAAAGCAAAAGTATACATGTAATTCAACATTATACTATACTTGTATGTAAAATAATATATATATATATTATATATATATATATATATATCGGTTCTATTATCTTGCTAAGCGCTGTTATCAATAAATTGTAAATGTGATAAAATACGCCCAGTTAAGTAAAATGATCACTGGCTTTTTATAAGTCAATTAAATGCAAAAAGAAAAAAAAATAGTGATTCTTTTCAGAATAACTTGTCAAGTGTTCTGCAATTTTTTAAATCTTTTATTAAGTCTTTCCCAAACTGAAGCGCATAATATTGTAAACAATAGAATAACTTCTAAAAAAAATTCCTATTGACAATGAGATCAAATGTTAGAGATATTAAATATAATTATTATAATCTTGCAATAGATTCGTTTGGTTTCAAAATTTTCTATTATAAATTAATATGCGACGAATCATCATTGCCAAGAATAATTCTCAAATAATTGTTTACTTAAATAAGTTAAAGTTTGGAAAGACTTTTATTAACATTTGCACAATTAATGTTGCTTCTTGAAAAGAAAGGGAGGATTTTAAGTAACTTTCACAGAAAATAGAAAGAAGACTTTATGATTATATAAGTAACATGGATAAAAAATATATTTTTAACACGCTTCATTACTTGCGTCATGGCAATTGGTATGTTATTCTTTTTTATTTCTTTTTTTTTTCTTTTTTATTTTTTTCTTCTTTTTATCTTTTTTTTTTTTATGTATATATAATCTCTATGCTTGTTCGTGAAAAAACGTAATTGTACTTAAGTATCTATATTTGTCTTTATGTTCAGAACATCAAAATCATATATGAATTATTTTGCATTTTATGAAACATATTGATTGTTCAGAACATTTAAAATATTGCAGTCAATTTAAGTCATGTCAGTATCATTCGAAATGCAAATACTAGGTTTTCAAGAAACAGTAATCGTATTTTAATATTCATTGGACTATCTTGTATGTGTGTGTGTATGTGTGTTGTGTGTGTTTGTGTGTATATGTGTACTTTCTTATATCTTGAATATTATTTGTTTTTTCAATACTGTTTCTTATAGCTTAATTATTTATATAAACTTATATTTCGTATTACAATATGGCTGCCATACTCACAATTTACCAAGTGCCTCTATTGTCTGTACAGCAATAAGTATTAAACTATGATTATATCAACGATGTATCTTATCTTAAAAGATGCAAAATTAAGTTAAAAATTAAAATACGATTACAAAAAAAAAAAAAAAGAAAAAAAAAGAAAAAAAAACAGTTATTTCATTAAAATTGTATCATCTATATATATATATGCATTATGTTGTAATCAATATTACTCAGAATATTATTTAGATATCTTAATATCTAATGAATCTGCACAGTAACCATTCACAAGGTTTTTCTAATAAAATAGTATTAAAAAAAGCTCATGTGTTCTTTTTAAAAGGAAACTAGCAGTGAAATGTGATTGAATTGAGTAAAATGTAACATTTTCTAGGCCTAGTTCCACTAAACTGCAAAGTTCCTCAAGACCACTCAAATAAAATTAAAATGAAGTGCGCAATATTCATAAAAATCCAAAGGTGTTTATAAATATTAAGGTCTTCATATTCCTGGCAGTTATATAACTTAAGCAGCTTTTACACATGATTTTTGACATTATAGTCAAACATATAGTAACTAACATTAATGCTGCATATTATAAATTCAAATTTAAAAAATCTACTAAATTTTTTTTTACAATTAAAACTGATGTGATTATTATAGAAGTTCATGATGTCACTTCCATTTTAAGGCCTGTCAAACGATTATGGAGTTCCTCTGATGATGGAGCATTTCTGAAAATTGAATTGTTACTGCCAAAAGAATGGTCAGTACGTCAAATATTCATTAATTAGCTTGGCGGAACTACGACATATTGCAGGATCAAATAACATACTCTCGTGCAATAATAATATACATGCTTCACAGGGATTTTGCACTATAAAAGCAATATAGGCGCATTAGATGTTAGTATTTGATAAATACTAGATATTCGACTTACAGTAAATGATCCTTAACACTGTCAATAGTGATATCTCCAACTGAACTTAAATCCTGTCGTTCATCTTCCCCATTCACCTCAGTGATACTTGCGGAAGGTTGCAGGGAAGGTTCCTTTGGAGATTCTTCACCACCTAAAAGATACGTGTTCAAAAATCGAAGCTGGAGATCTACTGCGCCACTCAATATTTCCACTAAATGAGCAATACTTTATAGCAGTACTTACTGAGATTGCAAATTTATTGGTTTTGCCAATAGCAAATAGCTCTTTAATACATACATATATATACACACACACATATATATATGTGTGTATATGTATATATAGTAGGATGCAGAAAAAAGATGATTTGGGCTTCTCATAAATTTCTATTGAACTACTACCTAAACCCTTATTCTTATTTCTGCTCCTGATATACATAACTCTAAATACTTAAATATATTGTTTACAATTTCCAAATATTCTCTACAATATTATACATATATATACTATATGAATCCTGTCCTCTTTTGCATGAAGGATGTATAAAATGAAATGATGAAAAAAAAAATAATAATAATTAGGCATATGGAAAGGTACGATGTTTCGTTTTTAGACATAAGTACCCAAAATTTTTGATTCTTTCTTCAATAATAATTACTACGCGAATACTTCAATATATATATGTGTATATATATATATATATATAACATATGTATATATATATATATATATACATACATATAATTTACCACAAGGTACATGTTTATGCAAATTGCTCACATATTTGTAATTATGTATGATGAAAAAACTGTTCTATACTAACTGGAACCTACAACACCATTCTCAGTTGCATCTTCGTTAACAGCTTGTTCTTCTGCACTAGTTTCTGCAGATACTCTAGCACTAGGTGGTAAATTAAGTGTACAATGGGCTTTTGTTACTTTTGTCGCTGATAACGAGATGCGTTGAAGTTCGGAACTTGAATGAAGATATAACGCTTCTCCAGACTTTGTGAATGTTAGGGACGAAATGCCACTACAAAAAAAAAAAAATCGATTCTTTTAATTAAAAAAAATCAAAAACAAGTGCGAGCACGCATATACAAACACACACACACACGCGCGCGCGCATAGACAGTTTATCAGAATATCAAAATTCTTATTAAAGAAAATATTTGAACTTACTTAATATCTTCTCGTTTAATTGCAGCAGCGTTAAGTTGTCTTCTTAATTCTGGGATACTGAGTATTAAACAATCTCCAAGATTCGTCAAACAAAGTAAGCATGTTTCAACATGCACTCCCGTAGAATCGATAGGACACGTAAACTTAGCAAATCCAGTTTTACGCACCCTGGATCCTTCATGAGCAGTAAGTTTATATTTGCAATTTGGCTTTAACGATGGTAGATTAAAAATTTTAAATTGTTCTTCGCTCGCTATTAATACTCTATGTGGTGATGTCATATCTGGCCCTGGAGAAACTCCCTTTTCTGCTTCAAATGGTTCTGGTAAAGGTACATTAGAACCGTCTAATATGGTTATAGCAATAACTGGAGCACGATGCTTCAACTGTATTTCTTTTCCAAGCGTACAATTTACGTCTTCTTCCGTTCTCCTAACACCGGCAGGTATCGCTAAAGTAAAAACGTAGACTGTCCCGTTATTAGTACCTGCCCAAAGCGTGGGTGTTGTATTTTGCACTAAAATTGACACAAAATATATTATGATTTTTTATTATTTTTTATTTTGTTAAAGTTCGATATCAAGTACAAAGGTATTTGATAAAGTTATACAATAAATATTTAACTTACTGCTTATGATATAACTTCTGGCGAAATATAAGCATCGTACCATAGACCCTAACGCATCATCTACCGGCCTAGCTTCAACTTGTCTTTCTACCGGCTTTAATTCCATGGGTGATAAATCGGCACTTGGAGAAGATGCTACACTAGAGCTTCTCGAAGGAAAATAAAAAATTAATTTAATAATAATTTATTGTAAAAGAAAAAGAAAAAGAAAAAGAAAAAAAAAAAAAAAAAAAAAAAAAGGAATAACTAATATTTTATACTGAATAAAATGATAAAACAAACATTTCTTTCTTTTTCTCTATTACGGTACTTCTCGTCGGGCTACTACTAGTATTTGTTCGTCTTTGCGATCTTCCTTTTCTTAATCTTCTAAAGGATTCTCTTAAAGATTTCTTAAATGATTTTCGCCTAGAAATTGGTGTGTCTCCTGCACCAGAAAGATCTATACGGAACATTTGAATTAATATCATTGTTTCAAGTCGAATCTAAATAATCAAATAACAAATAATAAATACCATTTGGATTAAGTGTGCATTTAACAGTAACAGGTTTTACCCTTGTATAGTCAAATACTGCTAAACCATGAGCTGTACCCGTAGCAAGTAAACCCCATTCACTATGCATTGCTAATGCTGTAACAGCAGCTGGTGGATATAACTGTAGAATGCTTTGAGGTTGAAAACCAATTGCAAAAGATATACTGGCTGTCCTTACAGGCAAATGATCGTAACCTTTCCATATAAATCCATCACGATCATTTACAATATTCATCGTCACTGCTTTTATTTCTTTATTAACTGGTTCAGAAGATATTACGGCTGTAACTACGTGGCCAGCTGTTCCTGCTATTACTAACGTTGATGATAACGGACACAAAAGAACTTTTTTTACTGCAAGACGTGGATCATCGGAATATGGATCGAATGTGCCCACTTTTCGAAACGGTGGCCATTCATCTTCATCGTCTTCCGGTGGTTGTTCAAGCACGTCCAAGTGTTCCCCGGTAAAAAGAATCGACGAGTTATATTTGTACAAAGGCGTTAATGAGACATCCGATGCATTCCAAAACCTTACGGTTCCATCTTCGTGGCCGGTAAGTAACAATTCTCTATTTTCAAGTTTATCAGGATTTTCCGGTTTGTTGCATAAAATAGTTCCCCCGTCGATGGGCCACTCTTTATCCGAGTATAAGTGTTCTGTCTGTGCTTTTCCAGCAGACATTATTGAATCCCAAAGTTCTTCGGGAACATTTGGAACGTGTTGAGAACAAGTTACCTGTCATATTGTACTTATGAACAAAATTGCAAATATAGGTATATTCATATAGAAACATTAATTTTTCATTGAAATGTCATTTCATTAAAATTAACATCTATACAGAAATATTTACCGCGCTGGCATGAAGCGATACCAAATACGGGAGAGCCATCATTTTCCATTGTGGATTTGTTAAATCAATAGCCACAATTTCTTCTTCGGCTAATACGATCAAGGCCTCAGGATTGTCTGGAATTTCATTGCCGTCTTCATCTCTGGCAAATACAGTGAAGAAGTCAATAACTTTCGAAGTAAAATCAAATACGACGTGTTTATCCTTCGTCATAACAGTGATAGTATGACGATCGCCATAACTAGCACGTTGCATACCACCAGAGAAGAGCACCAATTCTCCATGCCTGTATAAAATGATCATTTCATGAAAATCTCTCTGGTATCGATGAAAAATAAATATAATTATAGTTTGATATGTATATGTTTATAACTTACTCGGCAGTGGGATATACAAGAATTTTCGTAATAGCTTTACAAGGAAAAGGGCCATACGGAGTCGTCGGGTCTGGAACTGCATCGCTACCTGGACTCCAGAACGTATAGGATCCATCGTTGTGAGATGAGACAAACCGACTCTCAGAAATAAAATGCACTGATTCCAGCTGTTGCGTGGATACGAATGTCTGCGTACGCGAAAACAAACCCATCAGCTGCACGTACACGTTCGCCAGAACCACCAAAGACACAAACAACAGTCAGGAACGAGCAATATTAGCTCACAAAACCATTCTTAAGCACAACCTTTTTTTTTGTTTGTTTGTTTTCTTCCCCCACAAATATTCCAATAAAGCAATCTCACCCTAAATTAACCATTTCTAAGCATACCACTACATTCCCCAATAATAATATAAAAACTATATACTTCCAGATGCACGAGATTTCTCAGAAAACTTAATCTCGGGCAATTTTACCTGCTGTGCTCCTGGAGTAGCTTTATTCCAGAGTACCATCAAACCTCGATTATAACCAATAAGTATGTTATCCGGGTGGCCTGGTTGTTCTGCTATAGCTTCCACTGCTCCTGGATTTTTCTTGTAATCGTCGGGCACACTTTTACAATATACAAAAATATCGTTAAAATGTTAATTAACTTTTACTACATAGTTATTATAAAATTATTGCAATTTCAATCACAAATGAAATTAATTAACGATTAATAATTAATGCAGTTTAAATAAACTCACTTTTGCATTACTACATCTTGATAAATGATGTTATCGGGTACTGCAAATGTTTTCAAATTTAGAAGGTAAATGTTACCTCCCTCTGCTCCTAAAAGCAGATGTTCCCCACTTGATTCCAAACATATTGCTGAAATTTTCTTCAGCTTCCCCTCCAATGATAATGATTTTGTCTCCACAACTGAATTTTCATTGATTTCCCATAAGTGTAAAGAATTATCATCGCAGAGAGAAACGATGCGTCCCTGTCGTCAAATATCGCGATATGTATTTTCATATCATATTTATGGAAAAAGATGGAAAAAAGAAAAAGAAAAAGAATAAAAGAAAGAAAGAAAGAAAGAAAAACAAAAGAAAGGAAAAGAAAAAGAGAAAAGAAATGATCGATGCAATCAAACAATATAATAAATTGTTAGAATAAAATCATAAACTGTTTCATTATCTTATCAGATACAAGATTCGCTCAAGAAATTATCAAGATAACGGATTGTAAGTATTAGTACCGTCCTCGGTATTGTGCAAACACTGTGAGAATACGTTCTCGATCGATCTTAAAAATGAGAAGCAAATCTAGCGTTGGTCGTTCTAGGAAACCTAAATAAATACACCTATCCCCGGTTATCTTGTTTTTCTTTTGTGTTTTTTTTCTTTTTTTTTTTTTTAGACATTTCAGGAGAAATAGTACGAAGAAATATAAAAGAGTACGAAGATATACGAAGAAATATAAAAGACATTGAGAAAAAGTCGTACTCTCGTTCTATTATTATTATTACTTTTATTATTATTATTAACAATAACATCAACTTTCTATTATTCTATGAAGCCTGTACCATTCAAATTTACAATGAAATTTCATTAGATTATTTTAATCGTCATTCCATTATAATGAGTTTATCTTTATTATAACGGAGTTCTAAAAATAAGTTTTAGTTAGAAAAAGAAGCTTTTTGCAATTAACTTATGAATACGTTTAAGAGTATTATGTTACGAAATGAAACACGTATGAATGTGCATAAGCGAATATGTCGTGTATTTACCTGTGATTATGTAACTTACAAACTGGCGCCCTATATACAAGATATCTTATTACATACATTCGCACTATGTGTGCGCGACTTTTGAAACTTTGACTTTAGTTTCGCTGAGTTCCCGATGAAAGATCTATAATCTTACGTTGGGTGAAGAGGTAAAAAAAAAAAAAATAAGAAAGAAAAAAAAAAGAAAGAAAGAAAAAAGAAGAAGAAAAAAACGCTTATAATTTTATGCATACATTGCGAATATTAATTAAAAGAAAAGAAAAGGAGACAAAAATAAAACAAAAATAAATAAATAAATAAACAAATATAACCTCATTAATTTTCTTACCTCATTCGGTATAGCGACAATTTTTGTAACTGCATTTTCACCACTTTCGCTGGAATGTTGACCATAAAATTCAACTCCAGGTCTTCCAAATCTGTTGTCAATTATGATTCAAGGATTTTATATACATACATACATACACACACACACACAAATATATATATATATATATAAAGGAAATATAACAAATATGTATAAGAACGAAATTCTACGATTACTTTCAATCATTCGAACGTAAAGAAGAAATATAAGAATTAACACACACACACATTCAAACGATTTTTTTCGCGCAAAAAAAAAAAAAAAGAAAAAAAAAATAAATTTCGATGATTTTTAATAATTTAGTTGTTCAATGCGAAGAATCATTGGGTTCCAATGATCGCGTGAATCATATTATATCTTTCTACTACTAAAGAGAAGGAAAAAGAAACAAAACAAAATAAAAAAAATAAAAAGAAAGAAAGGAATGCCTGAGACAGACGAACGAACGTCGCGAAGTGAAGACGCAAGGAAAACAAAAGGATACACTTTGATGGCGCCGGATGTCGTCCCGATGATCATTAGTCGTAAACTCGGATCCCATGCGAAGGCTGTTGGTTTGTTTGGGAAACCATGTTGCACCGTCTGTAAAAGTAAATAAAAGAAAGACATATATATATTAAAAAAAAAAAAAAAAAAAAAAAAAAAAAAAATTAGACAATATTATTACGAGAAAGAATAACTTTTAAAAAGTATTAAAAATCTACTTGTTGATACATTAAATGAACGATATAATATATGGTATACTATATTACATTTATTTATTACATTAATATTCGATCAGAATAATTGTGCGTAGCAATAAAATTCTTTTCTTTTCGTTAGACGTTATCCCATGAAATTTGAAATTTTTTAATATTCAATTCTTTTTGACAAGAGTCCTTTAAATTATCACGATTACGAAAATAATATAAATTTTCTCTCAAGTATTATGAAACTATTTTACGCGCCCAATTTGTTTGAAATTAATTTTCAAGTGAATGAAAGAGAATTATCGATTGTTTTTTCTTTAATGGGCTTGTTACAATGAAACGAAAAAAAAAAAAAAAAAAAAAAAAAAAGAAAAGAAAAGAAAACGAGAACGACCTAATTCATAACTCTTTCCGCATGTGTGTACTTGCGCGTGATAAATGTCTCTATGTGCGTGCTTGCGTGCGGATGTGTGTATTATATATATATATTAAACTTCTCTCTCTCTCTCTCTCTCTCTCTCTCTCTCTCTCTCTCTCTCTCTCTCTCTCGCTCTCTCTCTCTCCCTCTCTCCCACGCTGTCTGTTTCTCTCTTCTTTTCTCACTGAATGTACATCGCATTGATAGAAAGAGAAAGATAGAAAGGAAGGAAGAACGATAGAATTAAAACTCGATAGGGTTTCGCGCTAACGTAGTACCAACATACTCGACACGATTTTATCGCGTTGATTTTCATACGTTAGAATCACTAAAAATAAATAAAGAAATAAATAAAAAAATAAAATAATAATAATAATAATAATAATAATAATAATAAAAAGAATATTCCTCGCGACGACCACGACGATCATCTTGATGACCTCGTGTCGTCAACTAGATCGCGTCTTCTAGACTTTCAATATCGATTACATCCGAAGGGATATCGACCTGTTGATTCCGTCTGCCATTTCACGAGACATAATATCTCGCACCTTATTTATTAGTCGCGATTTATATTGATCACCGATTTTCTTTTCGCGTGTACGAATGACAATATAATTATTTGATTAGGACATGTTATAAAAGAAAAAGAAAAAAAGAGAGAAAAAAAAAAGAACTCAGGAAAAGCATTTATATCGAAGGTAACGGAAAAGGGATCTTATCGTGATCTCGAGTTATGCAACGAAGAAACGATACGCCGTTATGGCGTTATGAATCATGCTCGTTCGAGTACCAGTACAATTTTTGATCTACCGATAAAAATCTTCTATCGAGCTCTTTTCATGCCTTTGGTTTTGTTTCTATGATGATTAGAGAAATTGATCGTTTACATGAATTGCCTGAAAGCGTCGAAAGAAAGATCGTTTCTTCTCATTAAAAGAAAAAAGAAAGAAAAAAAAAAAAAAAAAAAAAAGATAACGAACGAAAACATAAAAAATGTTTCCTATTAATTTCTAACAACAGAATGATGCGATATTAAATCATAATAAATCATAGCCGCTCGGCCAACATTCTTTTAATGATAAATTTTAAAGTGGACACAATGATATTTATCAGAGCCATTATCTTACATAGAGAATATATACATAAATACATATATTAACCGGGAAAAGTTAACGACACGAAAAAGAATCGTATTTACAACGAACATTCATCAAGAAAGACGCCACGGCATTCGTTTCATTCGAGAAGTTCGTAGAATTGTTGGTAATCGTCATGCGAAAAGATATCTCCGAGGAAAATGTCTTTATCGTCCTTCACGATCTAAAACACAGGTTATATCCTTTCCTCTTCTTCTCGATACTTTGTTTGCATAGTCCTCGTATTCGCTAATCGAAAATGATTGTGAGTTCTTCGAAAACTCTTACATCGATCTATAGACACAAAAAACCTTTCCATACTTGTGATGATAACGAATCGAAATCGTAAAGAAAAGGTGACAGATATCACGACCGAACGTTTCGAAAGATGATCGATCGATCGATCGATCGACCTATTCCTCATTCTTATTTATTTTTCTTTTCGTTCCATCTTTTTTCTTTCTTCCTTTTCCTCTTAAAAAAAAAAAATTAACCTGTTAAAAATATAAAGAAAAATTTGAACGAATGAACGAAAGAACGAACGAATGAAGCCTTGATCGCTTGACACGAACGCCCCAATTGGTCAAGTACGCGAGTACTTTAATCCAAATCAATCAACCGTTGTTGCGTACCACAATCGTGTCGTCTCTTTCTCTTTTAAAGTAACGTTACCGATATAACGATATAACGTTCATTATGGTCAAACGACAAAACAACTCGTACAACAATAAAAGTATCGTTCGAAAAACATCGTTTTAAGTTTCGTAATAGATTTTTCGTAGATCCGGAACCGATAAAAATGTCATTCTAATGCCATTCTTCATTAAATAAAATGATAAATCATTAGTCATCAATGAAAATTAATAATTAATGATATATTTCTTAGAAAAATTTAAAATATCGTCACGTGATTTACAGAAGAAAAAAAAATTTTTTTTTAAATCACACGTCAAGCCTCTATAACATCACGTGTTACTTAACATACACACACACACACAGAGATATTATTTAGGTTTGATCATATTTTATCGTCATAAAATGAATAATTACTCCGTATCTGAAATTGTTCGTGTTCCTTCTTTTCTTCTTTTTTTTTTTTTTACGTACAATCTATACCTATTTTATTTATATATAAAACTTTTAATTTGTACTTGGTATAATATATAATTACACTAGTAGTATAAGTAATACTATACATTTTTCACATATTATATTTATATACTTGTACATATATCACATAATATATACTTGTATATATTTCACGAAAGAAAAATATTGTTTTATATAAACTTAATATATATATTAATCGATCATACAATTCGAAAAAAGAAAAGTATACTAGGTAATTTAATGTATAGTGAAAGTGAAGGCAACGTTACAATATATCGATTTTTACGGGAAGGGCATCTGTAATACTAATAAAAAATACGTACGTGTACGTATACCTGTCTACGTATACCTGTCTACGTATACCTGTATAACGCTCAAAATTAGCCATCGATCAACGTTTGACTTGTTTACCGTTAAATTACGGTGCTTCTCGAACTTACGAATAGATTTCGTACCTGACAAACTTATCTAAATCCGTCATATTATTAGGCAGTAAGGTAAAGACGAAAAGTTAAGATAAATTTTTATGAAATATTAATAATTAGATATACTTACCTACCTACCTATCTACTTATTTCTACGTAAATAATATTAACATGTAATATTCAAACGAATAAGAAATAAATTATGTAACTTGTAAAACGATGAACTAAAAAAAAAAAAAAAAAAAAAAAAAAACAATATTTTCTTTTAATCCTCTGTTCTTATTTGATTGAAAATTTTAAAACACTACGTCTGATTTAAGTACGTGTAAAAAAAAAAAAAGAAAATGATTTTCTTTTTTTTAAATTTCTTCATATTTATTTCTAGATTCATTTTTTTACTTGCCAAGTAAAAAAGAAGATCAATACGTTGTTTATCGGCTCAGGAATATACTCATGTTTGCATATGCACATGCGACTTATTATTATTATGACTATTATTATTATTATCATTATTATTATTAATTAAAGTATAAAATTATGAAAGTCATTATTACAATATATATTGTTTATTGTGATAAATAGCTAAATATATAAGGCATGAAACGAAAGAGAAGAAATTGTCCGTTCCTAAAAATGAATTTTTTTTTTTTTTTTTTTTTTTTTTTTTTTTTTTTTTTTTTTTTTTTTTTTTTTTTTTTTTTTTTTTTTTTCAAGAGAACTAGAGATCTAATGTCCCTAATTCGATGTAACTAACACCAACGTTAATATCCCTTAAGGAAAAATAAATTTTTTAATATGTCACCTTTTAATAAGTCCGCTGTATCGATTATAATGTTAACTTTATTTTGATATCATTTAACTTTCACGTTAGAATTGTTCACATTTAATATAACGATTTTTAATACAATTATGAATAAAATCGGGTTGAAACGGGATTACTTCTTGCATGAATATATGTAATAAGCCATATTAAATTACATATACGTAATAATAATGCTGTGTTAATAATCTGGCAAGTGGAGCATCGAAAGATATAAGAGACAATAGAGAAAGGAAGAAAAAAAGGAAAGAGAGAGAGAGAGAAAGAAAGAGAAAGAGAGAGAAAGAAAGAGAGAAAGAAAAAGAGAAAAAGAGAGAGAGAAAAAGAGAGAGAGAGAGAGAGAGAGAGAGGAGAGAGTACGTTACTTGATAAAACATATATGGGCACACGTGCTTTTTTGTAACGGATGTAAGTACGTAAGACACATGACAGCGGTAGTATCGTATTTCAACCTTGAAAGATTCGGTAAAGTAAAACGCGTTCCTCGCGGTTCGACGATTTTCTCGGGGCTCTCGGCATTTCTTCCATTTATTTTTTTTTTTCTTTTTTATTACTTTCTTCTTTTTTTCTACATGCAATATATATATATATATATATATATATATATATATATATATATATATATATATATATATACACACAAGTGAATAATCAGAGATATATAAGCCGACGATTATAAAAGTGGTATAAAAACAAAAATTACGACAAAATTACTTTCATTGAGTATTTCATATTAATTAGATCATTATTATATGAATTAGGCGATAAAATTATTTCTTTTTTTTCATTTATTGTCTTTTCTTTTTTAATTTTAATATTAACTTCCTGATCTTATTTTAAACCACTCATAATTATATTGGCTCATAAATATGATTATATATATATATTTTTTTTTTTGAAAATATACACGGTAATCCTTGCTGAAGTCTATCACCTTGAAGGATTTTTTTCTCTCGACGAAAAGGCAATATAGTATATGTATACCAGAAAAAAAAAATAAAAGAAAAAAAAAATGACGATAAAAATACGTGCGCGTCTCGTGGTTTCCTCGTAACGTGATCCCTCCTCGTTGAGAAGATTTAAATGGCAAAGAGACTTTCCTATTCTTTACGAAGCTATGATTAACGAAAGGAAGCAAAAAAAAAAAAAAACAAAAAAAAAACAGAAAAAACATATATATACACACACATAAAAAAGGATAAAATAAAACTTGCGAGAAAGTTTGTCTCCATTTTATTATCTTATTTTACGTTTTCTCTTATGCGTCATCCGAAAATCATTAGGAATCTATTTGTATCTTTATTTTTCTCTTCTTATTTTATCATTAATCTTTAAAGACTGAAGAATTGGTGATAAAAATTACGGTAAGAAGATTAACAATCGAACGAACGTAAAATTTTGTTTATTGTCTGTGTGTGTGTGTGTGTTTATGTAAATATGTATGTACATTGCTAGTCAAGAACGTAATCACCTTCCATTTCCTAGGAGATCCCGTTCGACTGCATTTTGTAACCTTCGCTATATAACTAACATGAATGCTCTCTCACCTTTATCTCTCACCCCGCCCCTTGTACCAAACAAAAGCACATTTCACAATGATATCAATGCGATTGTTAGAAAAGGAGATAGTTTTTTTTTTCTTTTTTTTTTTATTTTTTTATTGTTGATACCGTATTATATGTTGATACCGTTCTATCGTATCAAAATTAAAAACATTCTCGTACGTCTGAATAAACATTGGAAGTATCTGAATAAAATTTGTTTTCAATCTACGCGTACCATTAATAATAATATGTACGTGTTAGAAATGTACTTACGCATAAATATGTATACATTTGAAAAGTATTAGAAAATTCGTAAACTTTTTCGAACTCAATAAAAATTTCATTTCTTGCGTTCGCGAGAAAGAGAACATTTCTTTTTATATTACCGAGAATTTTGAAAAATAGACAGAGATAGACAAAGATAGATAGATAGATAGATAGATAGACAGAGAGAGAGAATATGTGTATATATATATATATATATGTATATATATATGTATATATATATATATATATATATAATCATTTACATTCGCATCGTCGATCGCACGTTTTAGCCGGTATTAAATGCATAATGTGCGTGTATAGCCTGTGACAACATACAGGTATTTCGTGTTTCTCTATATATACATATATATCGTAAATATGTATGTATGTGTCTATACGTAAATATATAACCGATAATATTGCCGTTACTACCTACTACTACTACTACTACTACTACTACTAGTACTACGTACTATTACTCACCTTTCGAAAGGCAAAGAGATCCTTCTGAAGTTTCTGCCGTTCGGCGGTGGGTTGCTGGCCCTTCCCTCTTATAAACTTGAGCATCCTCGTTGCTTTCGTTCGCCAACGATAACACGCGGCAACGCGTTAAGTGCCGAGGAGAACTCGTGCACGCACGCACGCACACACACACACAAACCAACACGCAACACTCTCTCTCTCTTTCTCTCGCGTACGCGCGCGTAGAATAAAACGTGGAAATGCAACTCTTTTTTTTTTTAATATAATTATTGAAGAACAGTACGTACTCGTACTAACCGTTGTCGTCACCGCCACCGTCGTCGTCGTCGTCGTGTCGTCGTATCGTTATTATTGTCGTCGTCGTCGTCGTCGTCGTCGTCGTCGTCGTCTTCGTCGTCGTCTTCGTTGTCGTTGTCGTAATCGTCTCGTTGCTGGAAAGAAGGGCAGATACGCGCGCGCGCACACACAAAATCACAACACAGAAAAGAGACGGACGAGGAAGAGAACATACACGTTATACCGTAATTTCCTCGGAACAGATGAATCGTAATTAAAACATTCTTGAATGAATGATAAATATATCGCGCGACATACCGTAATAACGTGTACCTCTCGTCGCAAGGTGTGTTGACCGCACACGTTCGATGCGCCCGCAACACGTCAGTTCCCCAGTATTCTTTTCGCTTTTCGAGACCCCCTCTCCTTTCTACTAAATTTCTTCCCCTCTCACTCTCTCTTACACACACTCTCTCTCTCTTTCTCTCTCTTTCTCTCTCTCTTTATTACTTTTTTCTCTCTTTCTCTATCTATCTATCTATCTATCTATCTATCTCCTTTTCTTTCACTCACTGAAATCCACCGCACTGGAGCAATGTGTCAGCCGCTTCCCTTCCTTTTTTTACAATCTTTTCGACATGAATATTTACGATCGATCAGATGAAATGTCCGATTATATGGGCCGTTAAATCTTTCGTCTTTCCATGTAATTCGTGGCCTCTGGGAACGCGTAAAAACATCGATATCCCAAAGAACGAAGGCGTAAGCTTTTGCTTCTCCACGTCCGTCTCTCGCGTCCGTCGCGTCTTTCGCCCGTTAACTCCTTCTTTCAACCAATCACCTTACTCGGTCTCTTTCGGAATGCATCGCCGTTGCTCGTTACCTCTCGGCCATCTCCGACGTCTTCTCGTTTTCATCTTCGTCCAGCTTCGGCATCTTCGCAACCCGCGCGAACCAACCGAACAATGACCTCCTATCATTCTTACCAACTTTAAAAATCTTCTCTTTTGCGCGGGACCGTACTATCCTCTTTGAATTCCTTCAATTTCTTTTTATCGACTGTTTTTCCTTTTTTTTCTTTTTTCTTTTTTTTCTTGTTGTTTCTTTTCTCTCTTCTATTATTTTCTTTTATTTTATTCTTTTCGAATATTCTCTATAAATTTTTCTTTTCTCAATTTCGCGTTCTACTAACGTTATTAATGTTTCTTTCAGTTTTTAAATTTGAAATATCGCAGCAGAAAATATTACGAAAGGAAAGATAATCTTGCGCAATATAAGGATGTTAACTTTTCGATTTTTATTGTTAACATTGCATTAATAGTATAAATAATGCTAAAGTAGATTATATAGAAATGAATTCATAAAAGCTTCATTAATGATTTAGAAATTTGCCTTCTATGTGTCCTACTTTCATAACACGTTGAAAATGCATTTTTCTTTGATATTTCCATCATCGATTAGTATGATAACATCAATGAAATACATTCACATTGTGAATCGAGACGTATTACCTACGAGTGAGTAATTGTGACTCAACTATAACCTTAATTTCATAGAGTGAGTCAGAAATATTATTTAAAAACAAATAATATCGTATTTAATATATTTAAAAAAAAATTATATCGCAAATATATTTTATATATATATATGTATTTTTATTATGACAGTATTTATGTAAAATTTTTAGTTTCGTTGACAGCATCGTTAAAAACATATTTCGTAACGAACTGCAGTATTTCGTAAGTAATGCGCAAATCGTAAAGACGATTGAATTAGTCGGTTAGCATACAATATATTATTATATGCAGTTTGGTATAAACATATATGTATATTTCTTATATATTGTAAATGCTATTGTGACGAAATTGTAAATAAGATAAGATTAGATTATCTTGTCTCATTTATATTTAACAGTTGAGTATTTTGTAACAGCTGGTTATACAAAATAATTTTTTGTTTATAATTTTGTTTGATTCTAATATTTATTCTTATAATTTACATAAAAATGATCATATTTTTCCAAGCAAATAGGATTATGTTAAAGACAATATTACTTTTAAAATAAAATTGATATATGTAAAACAAATTTTATTTATAGCTTTATTTCTCCTTATCCTGTTTGGAATCACAAACCTATCCTCAGAAGAGATGTCTGTCCAGAAGGAAGAAAATATTTTGCAAAAAGTAGCAAATTCTTGTTGCTTTTTTTCTAGTAATTTTTACAAGGTAAAATTTTTAATTAATTATATCAGGACATAGCTTATAAATAATTTATATTGTAGGTATTATCAGATGAATTTGATGGGAATATTATAACATCACCACTTAGTTTACATACTATATTGTCTCTACTTCATCATGGATCAAAAGGAGTAACATCTAATGAATTACAAACTGTTCTTTATCCAAGCAGCATTGATGTCTCCCACAATGAAATAAAATCTTTAATTTCTATATTAAATGTAAGAATATAAACATTTATCTATTGCATAATGTTATATTAATGTTAAATATTATTATTAGGATATAAAAGAGGTAGAACTACAAGTAGCCAATGCAATATATATGCAAGATAATTTTCAAATACTCAGTGAATTTACTACAGTGAGCAAAGATGTTTTCAACTGTGGCCTATCAATAATAAATTTTAAAAATAAATTACAAGCAATTAATGAAATTAATACATGGGTCAAGAAAGCAACAAGAGACAAAATTTCTACTATTCTTTCCAATGGTATAAATGATAATATAAGAATATATAAATTGATATATGATTATAATGAATTATCACTAATATCTATGTTGTAGATGATATTGATGAAGATACAAAAGCTATTTTGATAAATGCAGTTTATTTTAAAGCTCGTTGGCTACATAAATTTGATGATAAGTTAATTAAAAATATTTTTTTTCATACATCAAAAACAGAGAAAAAATTAGTACCAATGATGTATAAACGATCAAAATATATTTATGGAGAAATTTCAAACTTAAATGCACGTTTCATTGAAATACCATATATAGTAAGTCTTAATAATTATAAACTAAAAAGTAGTTATCAATTTATAATATATTATTTTTGTTAACTAAACTTTTGTAGAATCAAGATATTGCAATGATAATACTGCTGCCCAATGAAATTAATGGACTTGAATTTCTGGAAAAAAATTTTAAATGGGAAGATTTTTCTGAAGCATCACGTAATGAAATAGACATTGAATTATCTCTTCCCCGCTTTAAGTATGAGATTACAATTGATCTGGAAAATATTTTGCGCAAGGTAAAATTATTAATACAGCATTGTTTCCAAAATTAATAATTTATACAAAAATTGATGATATATGTACTAAGAAAATCGTTTCAGATGGGCTTACATTCCATATTTGAAGATACTGCAGATTTTGGTAATCTTACAAATGAACCTGTAAAAATAAGTAAAATATTACAAAAAGCTTTCATTGAAGTTAACGAGGAAGGTTCAGAAGCTGCTGCAGCTACAGGTTAATACGATTTTTAATATATCATTTGTAAATATGTTTCTTAAATATTATATAAAATTATATTTGTTTACAGTCGCTCAGATAAGATTAAAAAGAGCATTGATAGATTTTCCAGAAGAATTTTTAGTCAATCGTCCATTTTTATTTATTATTTATCACAAACCAAGTAAAATACCAATATTCTTTGGTAGTGTAAAAGATATTAACATTCCTGTGGAAAAAGACGAATTATAAAATAATTATTTTATTTACATCATATGTATGTAGTACCTGTTCATAATATTTCTAATAAAATATAGAGTATTTACTTTTTTAATAATTCCTTCTTTATAAAGATAATTTAATTTATTGTATTAAATATTTTATATATATATGTAGAATTAAAAAATATATTGTATTTATTAAAACTAAATATAATAAATAATAATTTAACACAATACATTGTATAAATAAATAATTTATATTTCTCAAAATTCAAATCCCTTTCATATATTTTATATTTTTAAATAAAAATAATATTTTATTCAAATACTTATTAAATTAAAATAATAAATTTCATATAAAAATATATATGGTTAACATAAAATAATTTTTTGATCATATATACAATAAGTACATATTTTTGTATACAGATATTGATTTGTTATATTTCTCTCTCTCTCTCTCTCTCTCTCTCTCTCTTCTCTCCTCTCTTTTTCTGATTTATGTAAATAACAGACATTAAGTGTCATTGTTTAACAAATACATTAGTATATTTTAGTTATATAATTGATACCCATGTTCATAATATTACTGTATATGGTTATAGCAAAAAATAATTGTCATACATTGATATGTAAATATGAGGCAATAAATGCTCTTAGAATTCTGTTAATGTTCTCTATTGTTTTCATATCTATATTACTGCGATTATCTCCTGATTTATGCCAAAAAGTTGGAAACGGATATGGTATCAAATGTAGAATTGGAACATCTGAAAGAAAATAAAAAATTATAAGTTTGTAGTAATAACAAAGTGTAGTGAAACATAAAAAAAAAGAAAAGAAAAACAAGAAAAGAACAAGATTTGTAAATTTATCATACTTTTTCTCAAAAAAGGAATGTGATCATCTTCTATATCTGCCAATATAGAATATGGTTGAAAGTATTTCTGTTCTGATTTCTCATAGGAATAATTTTCGAATTTTCTTAATCCTGCTAAAGTATTTTCAAGATTAATAAGTAACGAATACCACTTCTGAGTATTTTCAAAATAACTGTAAAATGTTGGATCAGAAGCTCCTATTAAATCTAAAAGTATTAATATATCCTGAAACAAGAAAGAAAATAAAATTATAAATAAAAAAAATTGTACATATAACCCATTCTATGATCAATTGTTATTAATAATATACCATTTTATCAAGTTCAGAAATATTAATATCTCGTATAAGTGTGGTACGTTCGTTATGCCATTTATTTGCTAAATGTCTTGCTCCATAAATGGAATCTTCTGGACCCCAAGATTTAAAAGCTTCTTCTCCGTCAAAGAAAATAAACATTAAACTCACATTTTGCTAAAAGGTAATAGTCCTTTGAAAAAAAAGGAAACACCTCGGAAAACAATTATTACATAAAAAAAAAAAAAAAAAAAAAAAGAAAATAATTAAACATACATTTTTAATAGACTTTAGTTGTTTATCCATGACAGTAGCAATATTAATCATTTGAGCACATGGTACTGCACTATCTGTGGCACCAACAAAATCTCCTTCTCTGGTATATTTTGAATCGAAATGACAAGCTAATGATAAATACCTTGTAGCATTTGGATTCAATTTTGCAATAATATTTTCAAATTGAATTTTTCCAAATATAGGCGTTACATCCTCAAAAATATCTGACTCTACAGTCCAATTAAGATCATTCATGACTTTTATGATGTACTATAAAAAAAAAATAGCATAATACATTAAAAATTTTATATAAGATGTTTATAATTTTTATCTATATTGAAATCAATATTTATATTTATTATTACTTACTTCTTTCACTTTTTTATGTTGAGAACTACCTACAACTCTGACAACACAAATGTTATCTAACACATGTTCCATATTAGTGATGTTTGACATATCAGCAAGTGTAATGAGTTGTTCATTTGTTAAAGATATTGGGTCGTGATAATACTATATTGTTAGAAAATAATGATTTAGGATATTTATAAAATTTTATTAGATAATATACGTATATAAAGTATAACGAAAAAAAAAAAATAAGATCGAATTATTTTAAAAATTCAAAAAAAAATATGTCAAATATATTTCATACCTTTTCTCTGTGAAATGGTACATTCTGTGAAATAATCTTGTTAGGTATACATGGTACAATAATTATCAAAAACACGCACGAAATAAAGTAAAACATATTAGAATTATTATAAGATATGTTTGAAATCGAATACAACAGAAATATGTTACATATCAAAACCGCTGTCTTCGAAGAATAGTACACATGATATCGTTGACCTATGTAATACTAACAATTATCTGATTGGTCCATTTTATAATACATTTGATAACTAGTCTGGTTTTAATATACATATATTAAATAAAAAGATAACATTTTTTTCAATTTTTTCCTCCATTGAGATATAAACGAGATATAAACATACATATATATTGGCAAATAAATTTATTTAAATTTATAGAAAATATATATTATTTTATTCGTCAGGACGAATAGGACTGTTTGAAAAGACAGAAAAAAAAAATGTGAATATTTTATACACTTAATTTTTATAACATTTTTATAATTATTTTTACATATATTATGATTTATTTTAAATAACCTTTAATCTAAATAATAATTATATGTATCATTAAAATGAAAGAGATACACCTTCATTTATTTGAAATTATCTGACATTCTTAAGAATTAAATTATGTTCTATGTAAATATATTGTTTCTTTCATTGGTTATACTAATCGAGTAGTCGTAAGTACTTGATCGTACTAAAATCGAACTATCGATTGTAAAAATGTAAAATATCAATATGGCCGCTACGGTCTAATAGGTTGGACGGCGTAATGTTACGACTATGAAGAAATAGCGTGTTTTGTGAAAAGCTACACGCGTATTAAAATCTTAAATTTACGAAATGTTTTACAATAACGTCATTACCGATTAAATTTTATAAAAAATACAAGCCTCATTAAATACGAAGCCAAAGAAATAAGGCAATGGATATACATTTTAATAACATACAAAACGGAGATTAAAGGTTAAGAAAAAGATATAGTAGAGAGGAAAGCATTTACAATTCCCTCCGACGAACGGAGGTACGCCTATGAAAAATTATCATTCATCGTGAAAAATTAAAAATTTTATTGTTAGTTCCGTTATTGTTTATATATTGTTGTTATTTTTCTTTATAAGAAATTCATTCGAATAGATTTTTAATTATCATTAATATGTTATATGATTTTTTAATTTTATGTTATCTCTATATAATGATATTGAAATAATAAAGTTAGTATTTTTTTATTTTTTTATTTTTTTTTTGAATATTTTAATATGTTTTTAAATCCACCTTATCTATAAAAATCTCACAATGTAATGCTGTATCCATCTTCCTTATTTATATTAATTTCTTTAATTCTATGTTTGTATTATTCTTTATTATTTTGTTCTTTCATAATAGAAACAGAAGAAATGCTGACTTCAAAAAACTACGATATTATATATTAAGAAGAAATTAATTTTACACATTCATTAATTCTAACAAAAAGCAAGAAAATGAGTAGATCAGATTGTGCAACTGATACAGGAAGTGGCTGGCGTGAATGTGCTAAATGGTTAACAAGATGTGGAGCATTAAGAGCTGATCACAAAGCCAATTGGCCCAATGCAACACCATTTGATCTTGCTTACACATTAAGAGACGGAGTATTACTTTGTAATTTATTAAAGACTGTAGATTCAGGATGCATAGATATGAAAGATGTCAATCAGAAACCACAAATGGCACAATTTTTATGTTTACGAAATATAAAAGTATTTCTGTCTGCATGTTCAACTATTTTCGGATTATCAGATTCTGACTTATTTGAACCTTCTATGTTATTTGATTTATCGAATTTTCAACGAGTACTTTGTACACTATCAGCACTATCGAATTGTCATCGTCTAAGACAAAAGGGTATTCCGTAAGTAATTTTTAGACTTTTATTTCTTATTTAGAAACATATTTATTTTATTTTAATATATAATATGTCTATTATAGAGGTTTCTCAGTAGGCCATAGTCGATCTCAAGAAGATATTTATAAGGATTTGCAAAGTGCTGGTGTAGGGTAAGTGTCTGAATATTATAAATAATTTTAATATATATGATTTTAAGACGTATATTCATTACAATGATCAAAATATAGTAGACATTAAAATAAAATTATAAGTAATTAAATTCTTAAAAATTGGTGCAAATCTTTTGGCATTTTTTAGCTAAGTAGATTTGTAGTAATTTTGTTAATGAATTTAGCCCCACGGCAGGAGTGGTGGCGTTTACCATAAAGCCTAGGCCTATGGACCTAGGTGAGTCTGAAGTTTATCAGGAATTGCTCTGTTTTTCAACTCCCCCTCAACACGACTGGCCTTCTACAGAGAAGGTATATGTCGTTTTGTATCCTGAGAATTTAATATGCCGTTTAAGAAAAGTTCCAGTTATCACAATTCTTTATGAATCAATTTGATAAAAGCAATAGTATAATGCAATTATTATACATTATTATCATTCATAATGTGATACTGGTACTATTTCAAAATACTTATCCAACTTGATATATGGCCATGAATGTTTTTAGTTTATGTTTAAACTTTTTAGTAACATTATCATACCCTTCATAGCTTAATAGTGTCCAAAAAATTAAGCTATGTTATGATGCATAGATAGTGCATGGCTATTTACATTTCTGTATAAAAGGCGCGAAGATGAAGGTCGTCGCAGAAGGTTTAGAAGGAGAGAGGGTGATGAAGCAGGTGGAGGAGGAGACAATGATGACTCTGTAGGAGAAGAAGATGGTTATGGAGCTTATTGCAGTCATGCTCAAAGTGAAGAGATCTATCAGGACCTTTGTAGTTTACACCTGCCACCTCCTCCATCTGTTGCTCAGGTTATTATTTTGTTATGCTTTCCTATGATTTCTATACACAATGTGTATTCATTATATCCTTTCCTTGGCAAATATCAAATCAATATTTCTAACACAAATAATATTCATATATGTATATGCATATGTTATTTAAAATTGTTGTGTTCATTATTAAAATTAACAATATTAGCTATTTTTATATTTTTTTTAATCATTCATTTGTATATTATTATTATATATTGTTTTACAATTTAATAAAACAACCGTAAAGCAGGGTGGTGCAATATCAGGAGGAGAAAAGAGAGACTATGTTATTCAAGAACTTGTAGAGACTGAAAGAAACTATTCAGATGTTCTCAACAGTTTATTAAAACATTTTGCGAGACCACTTTCATCATTATTAAGACCTGAAGATTCCGCACGAATATTTTTTGGTATAAAAGAATTGTCCGAAATTCACGCTGGGTTCCATAGTCAACTTCGTAAAGCAAGAAACGGAGCTGCCTTAGCTCAAGTTTTTCTTGATTGGCGAGAAAAGTTTCTTATTTATGGAGATTATTGCGCAAATCTTACACTTGCACAAAATACGCTACAAGAAGCATGTACGAGAAACGAAGTTTTTAATCAAGAAGTCATAGTAAGTTTTTTCTTTTTTTCTTTTTTTTTTCTTTTTAATTTATTTGATATATATATATATATATATATATTAAATATATTTTGTTATTTATTTATTATATATATGTATATTTATTTTTATAGAGATGCCAACAAGATTCCAATAATGGTAAATTTAAATTACGTGATATACTTTCTGTACCAATGCAAAGGGTACTAAAATATCATTTGCTACTTGATAAGTTAGTGGAAGAGACTCCTAGGGATTGGCACGAAGACAGACGTCAATTAAGTGAAGCGAGAGAAGTTATGGTAGACGTAGCACAATATATAAACGAAGTTAAACGTGATGCAGACACATTAGATATCATAAAAGATATAGAAGCATCGATAATTGATTGGGATGTACCTGAAGATGCACAATTAAAAGATTATGGACGTTTGTTAAGAGATGGAGAACTTAAGGTATATATTTAATATTTTTTCAAATATACGATGAAAATTAACATCGTAAATTATTGTCGTAATTAACAATGATTATTTTATCAAATTCTTTTTAGGTGAAAGCACATGGCGATCAAAGAATAAAAGCCCGTTATGCATTTGTTTTTGAGCAAATCATTCTAATATGTAAAGCGGGAAGAGGTGATCAATATTGTTATAGAGATTTTTTACGTTTAGATGATTATAGACTTGAGGATCATACGGGTAGACGAACTCTTGGCCGAGATTCACGTTGGTCTTATCAATGGTTACTTGTGCATAAACAAGCATACACTGCATACACCTTATATGCAAGGACAGAAGAACAAAAGCAAATGTGGATTAAAGCATTACAAGATGCGATGGATAATGTAAATCCTGCTGCATGTCGAAACACGAATCATAAATTTAAACTTACAACATTTGATACTGCACGTAGTTGTCAACGTTGCGGTAGATTTCTTAAAGGCTGTATATTTCAGGTAGTAATATTTTGCTTGTCTAAAAAAAAAAAAAAAAAAAAAAAAATGAAAATAAAAAAGAAATATATACTATTTTTCTATTATTATTATTATTATTTTTTTATCTTACCTTTTTTTACACATAGGGTTACAGATGCGAAGTATGTCGCCTTGCTGTACACAAACAATGTATTGCACATTCAGGACGTTGTATGCCAATACCACCTCCACCCCCACCACCACCACCCTTGCCTTGTGAAAGAGCACTTTCTGCAAAACTTTGGTTTGTTGGAGAAATGGGACGAGACACGGCATCTAATAAACTTGAACCTCGTGAGGACGGCACATATATGTTAAGAATAAGACCAGCTGGCCAACCTCGACTTAAGCATGAAACTAATTATGCATTAAGTATCAAGTAAGTTTTGTATTTATTGTGTTTATATATAAATGAAAATATACGAATGTGTATAATCTTCATTTCATTTTATAGGGCCGATGGTGCAGTAAAACACATTAAGATATTCAAACGTGATGTAGATGGTGCAGATCTCTATTATCTCAGTGAATCTAGATTTTTTAAAAGTGTCGTCGAACTTGTAGAGTACTATGAACGCGCCTCATTAGCAGAAAATTTTGAAAAATTGGATCAACGATTGTTATGGCCTTTCCGTCGTGTATTAGCCAAAGCACTATTCGATTTTCATGGTAGCGAACGTAATCAATTGAGTCTTCGACGTGGTTGCAGAGTTGTTGTCTTAAGTAAAGAAGGTGATGCCAAAGGATGGTGGAAGGGCAAGATAGGCGATCAAGTAGGATTTTTTCCTAAAGAGTATGTCGAGGAAGAATAACGGAAATGCGGCAGTAATAATTCTTA